CGTCGATCTTCAATGGCCAATTCCTTCTACGAAACGGTCCTTAGGGAATCATGGTAGCTCAGTGTATTCAACAAAACAAATATCCAGTCTAAGATGATGAACACAACCACCATGATGTCTATTACGGCGAATTTTAAGCAACAAAGCTATATCATAATTTTGGTTAACAACCTTTGTAATGAATTTGCTCATTATACCGTTAAGATGAAATTTGTCACACTGGCCCCGATCCTACATGTTGAGTTAATTGAGTGACGCCCGTTTCACTTATGTATAAATCAGAGTGAACTCTCTTCTCCATCCCTATAACGTCCGATCCTCCAAAAACAATTGAAAATTAGCTTTTCAGATACCCGTCCCCTGGTGATGCGGAAGCTGGGAGGATTGAACCAAAATTGTTCACATTCCCGTTTTCTAAAGACGCTTGAAATTTGTTTATGTGTTAGCAGTTTCGCTGGTTTCGCTTCAAACAATGATCTGACTGGTACTTGACAATAGTTTCACAATGGCTGAATTTATTTTGGACTTATTTTCATGAATTTCATAATTTTCGCTCTCATTAGATTCAGACGATCGAATTTCTTTCGTTTTCTGATTGCTTGTTGCTTCTGACTTGAAATTAGCTTCATTTTTTTTTTTTTTTCAAGAAAAGCAACTAAAATTTGTCGACTTGACGTGACGTCTTACATGAAGAACACTGTTCAGACATTGGGTTCGTCTGCCCATGACAGAAGCATTGTCTCGGCCTAGCTCGGACACAATTTCCTGACGAGTGTGTTTCAAATTAAAAACCGTGGTACAATTCATTGCAAGACAATCTTTGAATTTTAACTCGTGTGCATCTTATTCTTTTATTTAACTATTCTCCTTTTGCCACTGTCGTTATTAATATTGAAACAAAATTCGTCAATCTTAAGCGGATTACTGTAATCAAGTGGTACTTATCGGTGTGATATCTCACTGCGTTTTCGATAAATTGTACACGGTGCTATATTTTATCTAGGAGAAATTCATTTCCATTTTACCATGAGTTAAACACAATTTAACTGTTAACCGATCAAAGCGATACAACTGAGAAACGTCGATCGAGAGCGCACAAAGATAGGTGGTTTTAATTTGAAAGCCAAAGGATTAGGGGCGAATTTCGAATTGAATAGAGAAGAAACGGTCCTCTACGGTTTGGTCAGGATTTTTCTAGTGTAGGAATATTTACTCTTTGCATCAAATAAAGCTAACGAACTCAGTCTTCGCATTTAAAGCCAACAGTAGGTCAAGGAGAATTAAATTATGCTATTTCCGATCGACGACCATATTTGGGAATCTCTAAGGAATGCTTCACCCTTGACCCGGAGTTGTCCTGGAGAAACTATGATGTCAATGAGGTTATAGCCGAGTACAAATTGAACGGTGTCAATGGTAAGGCGCTTTACGACCATGTCATGATAATATTGTGTCATCCATTTCAAGGGCATTACTTAATTGACGGAGACGCTCTCAGCACCTTCAACACACGCTTGTCAGTTTTGATTGGCGCTTGCATACACGGGGGTGTGACAGTGTTTAACATTGCGTAAGAACAAGATGAATAGCGATTGTGACTGCTTGTTCTTTCTATGAGAGCGGTCGTTAAGGCCTCTCCTGACGAGTATGTAATAAAACTACCCGCCCCATTTTTCTGGCGTTTCGCCGTCAGATCTTTAGGCCTTACATATCCTTGACGAACAGACCGATAAAATGTAAAACAAGGTATAGTTTCTTGCAGGTAAATCGGGGAATGTTTCGTATGCAGCCCACTCGAGCGGATTCAATGAGCATTCCACCTGTTATATTGTTCGGAAATCCGTTTTTCAAACGGTTCAGTGGTCGTAAATGTCCCTTTCTCCGTCTACCGTGACTTTATCAACTTTCGCTTCCGCCCACGTCTGGGATTGCCGTGTTCGCGTTCAACCCACGCGACGAGTTCCTTTGCATTTCGCGGAGCGTTCACCGACGGAAAAAACGCCTTTTGTTCAACTCACTGTTTGCCTTGAATGTTGCTTTGAAATCAAACGAGTGTGAATGTTTTTCGTTTCAGTGCCGACAAGCGCGAGGATTTCGCCACCATGACGTAATTGTTTGAAACTGCCGGAATTCTCGCCTTGTGATGTCATGGTGATCCATGACCAGGATTTCCTAGATGGGTTCCAGTAGTTGTCGGTTCGCGCGTCACTTGAAACTCTATATTTTTTATATTCGAATTTTCTTTCAGGGTTTTTTTCTTGGCAGCGATTTTCAATTTGTATCGGAATGCGAATCTCGTTGGATTTGGAATGTTTGTGCGGGGATTGAGCGATCTCTATTATGGCGACACATCTTTGCTAACGCTTTAGTCGCGAAGAGGATAAAAAAACTTGCATCCATGTTAATTTGGGGAGTAACGACTTGTCGAATGGTTGATTTTCAATGTACATAAGGGAAGGAATATTTGGAAATGTTCCCAGTGCTAGAAGTTCGCGTTTTAAGCGCATCTGGTTATTCGTATTGGCCATCTGCTTGCTCCAAGGTATCGGTGCTAAATGCTTTTGCTTGTGTTTATATTAATCTCTTTCTGGTGGAAACTCAAGTACTCATCGTAAACTGATCACAGTCGTTGGTAAAATTCACCCCTTAAAACGTTTGGCGCGTAATTAGTTGAATTGCTCCAAGCTCTCTTAAAGGGGGAGAATTTTACCAAACGAGATAGCGCAGTGAATACTCGTTTTAATATCATTGTAGTTAACTTAATTAGTGTTTGTTTGGTTCTTAGAAAGTGGAACACAGTTCGTGGCCACTTGTGCTAACAACCTCTTGAGTTGATTAATTATTTTAGTCTATATCGCTTTTTTATTCGACATTACTTGTTTAGCGAGAAGCGGAAACCATCTAAGGCCAAGCCTGAAAGATTTTTGGTTAAAGGAAGCGAATTTTTCATTTCACTTATCCTGACTTTACTTGATTCTAACGTTTGTCGCCGTTACGTACATGTGTTTTGGTGCCGCATAACAACAACTGGCTGTCATCTTTGTTTAATAGACGGAAAGCACCTTTCCACGGCGTAAATTTTTAGAATTAGAAAGGAAATGGTTGTCTTTCAATTGCTAATGTAAATTTTCTCTTCGTTTGTCTTTGCCTTAAAGTCAAGAAAGCGAAAGGTTTTACGGATCACGCCTCCAAAACAGGTGAGTGTAAATAATTTACTGTTAGTTTTTTAAACTGCGTGTTCAAAACAGAAATGTGACAAGAAACAGATACTAATTAAAGAAATTCGTTTGCTTTGTTGTTTGAAAGGAAAAAAAAAAAAACAGTTTGTCGATTTAGAAAGCTGGTATACAGCGATGATTCAACTGGTACTTGTGAGATTAACCTTCTAGCTGTGTTTTCATAAACATTGGCCTGAGCTACCTGCTACGTCAGGTTCACCCTAGCCCTTGTTCTTGTTCATTGAATCTGAGAGGATAAGTTCTTTTTTTTAAATTTAAAGAGAAAACGCCCCATTACGTTAAAAGCAGATTCATGTATTTAGCGTCAAAAGTAAAACTAGTTTACAAATAAAGTTAACATTTCTTGCAGTGTCTTGCGAGGGGAAGCTATTTAATTATTACAAATTTATTCCCTCGGGCGTACCTTTGTGATCGTTGAGTGTTTTTTATTTTTATTTTCTTCTAGTGATAATGTTTTTTTTCTCTCTTTGTTTGCGATCTGAACATTGTAACTTCGCTTTAATTTATGTCTTTAAAAACTTTTAAAGTGACAAAGATTGTAAAAGTTGAACTCTGGCAACTGCTTAATTTAGCTGATATTGCTCAGCTTCCATAAAAAATCGAGACCACTCGAGCATGAGCACTTTTGAAAACCCGACAGGTCCTGAGGTTTTTACTCGCTCATAAGTTGAGGTATGTGTTTGTTTTGTTGCTCCAGGGTTAATTGGATTGTCCAAACATGACTTGAAATTTGTTCAGGTGTCAAATCTAGTAGAGAGGTGATCACATGTGTCAGTCCAATATTTAATACTTCAACGAAAAACAAACCCTTCCCTAGCAAAAGGTTGCTTTCTATTGTTTCTGTAGTTTAGCGCAAACGTGTCTGTTCAAATTTGATTTTGAGTCGGTGGCCAAGAAAAAAGTTGGAAAATAGAAGAAAACGAAAGAGCAAACGCCCTACTAGGTACTAAGTGTTTTTCATTCCCGTCAGATATACTTTAATGTGATGGAGATGTTATATAAGGTGATCATTGAGATTTTGTGCTTCGAAATATGGAGTAACATGAACAATTAACAATGATTGATTCAGATGGTACCGCAGACAAGTTAGTTGCAATATCTATTTCGAAAAAATGAATTTGTACTTAGTAATTTTTTTTCAGTGATGGTCTATTTTTTCTGTCGTACAAATTGGTCCACGCTCATTCTTTGGAAAAAGGACGGTTGCTGGACTGAAAATCTGAGTAAAAAACAAAGATAGGTTCCTTTGCTCTTTTACGAGAGATCTAGAGAGAACTGGCGAGCTTTTTCGCTAAGCAAGAAGTTCTAATCGTGTGTGCACTAATCACTTAAAAAGCAAACAAACAACCAACCAAACAAACAAACAAACCATCAAAATGTGATTAAGTAATAAATAAAAATGACGCAAAAGTCGTTTAGATGATTATCATTTTAGTTGCTAATATTATGTTTTTTTTTGTCTTGAGAAAAAACAAGAGCGGTACATTAATTACCTGACAAATACAATATCCTGGTCTGAGAGGCGGGATCCTCGCAAACATTGTGACCTGAAATGTCAATGTAGTCAACTTATCTTTTTTTAAAGCAAGGCGTGGTTTTTATTTTTACGAGAAATATGCATGAGAAATATTCAAACCAACAAACCTCTGTGCTGGGTCATATTTACTCAGTGAAATGATTGACAGATCGAGGAACGCATAACTAAATGACAACAAACTATTTTAACTGGCGCACTAAAAAAAAAAAGATCGACATTTTACAAGACATGAAACTGTGCTAATATCTTTACTGACAAATGACAAATCAGGTCGTATTTTTAATGACAGCAGACACACAACTCAGCTATATTTTCACGGACGGGCGACAATTACAGGGTGATGTTGACTGACAGCTGCTTATGGAACGGTTGCATTTAAAATATTTTAAAGCCTTTTTAGATCGCACCTAATATTCATTGTGTTATATTAGCTAGTAAGACCTGGCCTCATGAAATCGTAGTCATAACAACGCTATTCACTTTAAAGTTTGAACTTTCTGAAAAGTGTGGAAAATAAACAAAGATTTACCTTTTTACTGTAAAATCTCCTTAGGGATTTTTTTTACTGCGGCCTACTTGGCAGTAATAAAGGGATACAAAGTTTCTGACACGATTTTCAAAACAGAAGCAGCCTTGTTTATAGACAAAGGGATACTACTATCGTTGCTATATACGACAACGTTTGTTTGGAAACCAGTGAAAAATTGTAGTCTTATGTTTGCATTGCGGTGTATTTTGGTAACAATGGAAGGCTGTCCTCCAAGCCTTCCCCTCCCCACCCCACCTAAAAATAGGGAAATGGCCGCGATTTGGACACCGGGCTACCTTCTCATTCTTCTTTTCCCCAGTTTTCTCGCGGTCACTTTTCTCATTCTGTTATGACTTTTGCGAAATAGGGACTGTAGCTGATGGAATCTTTAGTTTAGTCTCAAATCTTTTCTCTATTTAAACAA